TGCACTCGCCTGCAGGGCAAACAGTCGGTTACTGCACTCGCCTGCAGGGCAAACAGTCGGTTACTGCACTCGCCTGCAGGGCAAACAGTCGGTTACAGCACTCGCCTGAGGGTAAGTCAGTGACAGCTTTCAATAGCAAGTAAACAGTAATCCCCTCCTTTGCTGTCGCTAATCTAGTAGTCATTACTTCAGCTCTGTGACAACAGCAGTAAGTACTGCAGCTCATAAACAACAGTAGTCTGTTATAACAGCTTTCCTGAATACATTTTGGAAAATCGTGTTTCATTACGATTCTATGAGATAAGCAATAACCACTGCATGGCGAATGTTAGAATTATCAAATCTTACCTGTATACACCCACTCGATGAACTGTCTCGTGACCGAAGAAGACATATTCACTTGAATCAATACTCTTTCTTGATGCTTGTGATTACTTCTTTTATGGAGAGAAGATATAAGAGGCGATTTATTCTTGGTATTCAAGCGCGAAAAGTTTTCCTTCAGTTCTGTGATGGGATCGTCTTCATCAATATTCGGTACTCCATCCATCATGGACGTCAAAGAAGAGTCTTTGGTGTCATTGCATTCAATAAAACACTGGTTAAGGTCTTTAAGACTTTTTTCTTCTTCGCCTATTTGACTTTCTTCGTCAGATAGATTTGTTGTGGGGTCATTTATGGATTTTTCAGTTAAAGGTTTTCGATTACTTGGTTGTTCGTTACGTCTGCTAAACAAGGCTAGCCTTTCAGACGAGGCGAGTTTTACCGGGGATGCGTGAAGCGGATTTCTCTTCACTGGCGATAGGTTTAATTTAACTGGGGATTTCAACCCAACATTTAGTGTGTCATCAGTGCAAGAAATTTTGACTGACGTACAATATCTTTCAGGGGACAGTTTTTCTGCTCCATCATAAGATAAATTAGAGTCGGACGATTCAACCCCCGATGAATTTTCGAAAAGAAGTACACGAGGCTTCAGAACATTTGGGGATCTGCCATCCACCATGAGGGCGATATCGCAGTCGGTTTTTGAGAGGATCTTGCAGGTACTCAGGAGGGAAGACCGAGCCTTCAGCACTGCAAGGTGAGCAGGAATCCTTCCTCCGTCGGTAGTGATGAGCTCCGCGTCCGCAGAAGAGTGATGGTCTTGCAGCAGACTACGCAGGTCACGGCTCAGCGTTACCAGGCTGTCGGGACTGCAGTGAAGCACCTGCGAACATCATATACGTTCCATAATCAAGTATCTGCATGTAAAATAATAATCAGTCTTTCATGAAGGTTGCTCAAATTATATTAGGAGGTAAATTCAGTATCCTAAATTTAAATCATAAATAGGACGTAAAAGTGAATTATAAATGATTTAAATTCATCAACTTTGAAACTTAAGCTAAATGCACAGAACACGCCATAGCCAGCCATTAAAAAACGAAATATCTTACATAAACATCGGATCTAATCCCACTGTCATTGTTCATCCCGAACAATTAAACTCCATAAACTCGTACAAAAAACTCACTTCTTCCGTAAAGGTAAATTCAAGCCAAGCGTTGAGCGCGCCATCTATGAGCAGATCGTAAGGTTTGACCGACACGCGCGGCACCAGCAGACCGCGCCACTTGCTGCCTGAGAGCCCTTCCAGTGTTAGGTCACGTCGCTGCTCTGGACGATCGCCGATGCCTGAAGTTATCTGTAAAATGCATCAACGTTGTCTTTAAGACAACTGAACGTTTAATTAGGGTAACAAATGGCGAGGAATGCTGTAAAAAAAGGCAACGAATCAAGTCAAACACAACCGGTCGTCGTTCAGTACAAGTAGTCAGTAGTGAGTGAAGTAGGCGAAATATTCAAGTGAAGAAACATTGCTGCAAAGCTGAATTGACGAGTCTAATAAATCTTTTAAATAATAGCAAGACTACACAAATAACCTACCTTAATCTTACACATCAAGGGGGCTGGTATGTTGGTGTGGATGCAGTCTACTAGTATTCGTACATCAAACTGGTCCCCGTCTAGAGGTGCCATGATCTGCTGAGACTTCGTAGACTTGAACATGGCATTAGGTGATGCGTTTTTTGAAGGCCATTGCGAATCACCGTGAATTATTTCTTCAATTCCTCCTTTCGTGTAGAGCTCCTGCAAGGCACTTTTCTTTATCCTTGGACTAGAAGGAGAGCAACCATAAGCGTTTACAGGAGACTTCATAACAGCAGCGTCATGTTGGTCAGAAAGCTTCACATTTCTCCTATGCTGGAGAGGAGAGTTTTTCACGGGGAACTTTGGAGTAATTTGTCTTGACGCTGATACACGGGGACTCGGTTTGCTTGATGGACTCTTCCATTCGTATACTTTAGTTTCACGGTAACTTTGAGGTTCGGCGTAAAGGTCCAAAGTAATCTTGAAAGTTGCACGAGCGGCACCCAGCTGAACTGTATGTTTACAGTCAATCTGCCGGCCGGTACGTGATGGCGAGTAGTGTCTAAAGTCAGGAACTCTGAAGTTGAGTCTTACTTTGCCTACTGTGTCTTTAATCTCCATATTAGTTACACACGGTTAAATTCTGAAAATAGCCCATTCAAGTTTTCATTATGGTTTTTATTGAAAATTTTTATCGATAAACTAATAAAAAAGACTAAATGAATTCACAAGTTTGAACCCTTCTGGAATGTAGATTAAAATCCTGTTCGCCTAACCTACGAGTATGAATACAAAATCTTAAGGAATTAACGATCACAGAAAATATTGATTTATGAACACACCTTCCAATTGAAAATCAACCACCCATTTATTTTAATAACTGGTACAAGATTTGATTTTCTTATAGGCTAGACGGCTTCGAGTCTTTGACTGCATCATGATAAGAAGTTAAAGTTTAACTAATGATAGGCAGGAATTATTGAATAAAAAACAAATATCTCCGAAAATGTTTCGGTTGCTTTAATTCAGTATTTCGGTTGCTACAAGAAATTCTCTAAATTATTAGGTATGTATTTTGTCAGAAATGTTAAATTTTATATCATATCCATGGTTTCAATTACATTCTTGCCCCCTACACAACTAGTACTAGTTCATAACTATATACATTTAATTTGGGTTTGACCTTGGAAAAAAGCTAACGTAACGGCTATCACCCTTAAATCCCTTATTAGAGCTCCAGGAAATATTCAAAGATATTATTAAAGAACGTATTTTTTGTTAACAATTTAGCAGTTAAAAGTAAATAAATTATTATAATTTCATTTAAAAGTCTATCGCTATAAACACGCAGTTGAAGGGAAAGAGACGCAATGAATATAGCAGGCACGAACCAACACTGGCTAAGAATTCAAACTGACCGCAGGAACTATCAAAAGGTGTACCTGGCGCACCTGCTCAAATATTACCCCAAATCATTACTCGCTACCCCAAAAATGAGCAGTTATATTTTGCGCACCTGGACAGTCAATTTTTGACTCATCTTTTCTGCCTTAAAAAAGATTTAAGTTTAAAACGCATTTTTGATAATTCTCAGAGCCTTTTTAGGAGTAGGTAGAACGTCTTCTCTGTATGGTGATCTTATTTTTTTTTAATATTACGTACATATAGCTGTTCTCGTCGTATAGTATTGCTTGAGAACATACGGACCTTGCGAGGCTGATAATGAATTGGCTTGTTAGGCTTACGCTATCAGGTGGTTGATCTTACATCTTACTAGACATAGGCAGGAGAGCTTGAAGAACTTCGAGTCGTTTAATAATAGGTCTATATAGGTCCCGAATGTATACCTCCAAGTAAAACAATTATCAATCGATGCTATAATGAGTTTTCAATTCGTCCCTCATTCATTTTCATCTCTGATATCGCTCCAAGTTTACCAAAATTAGGGCTGCTGGCTAAGATTATACTATACCTAAATGTAGTTCTGACGAATTATAGTAATAAAGTACATATTTTTAATTACAAAAAATCTGGTTAAGATATGATAAAAAGTAATAATTCTAGTTCGTTCAAAAAACGTTATAATAACATAGTGACGTGCAATTTTAAATCCAATTTAACAAATATTCTATTGTCGAATGAAATCCATGTTATAAACACAACTTCGGAAATAAAATTCTCCTAGTGTATCTATGCAAACCTAAAAGATTGCCCAATTTGCACATAAATTCACATTACTATGATCTATAGATTCATTGTTTGATCGAGTATATTCGCTTACACGATACGATAGACGTACTGATATGCGTTTTCTTTTCAAACAAACTTGGTACCGGTTAGGTAAAGACATTTTCACGTCATGATAAATTAACTGAAAATGAATGGCAATTTGGCGCTTGGGAAGGTCTTTTAACTAACCCTCTGATTTGTGTGGTAAACTTTCGATTAGAGAGCTTTGGAATGCTCTCATTCGTGTGCGCATCAAGGAGTTCAAATAAAGCCTGAGTTCTGCTCGCGAAACGGACGGTGACATCGCAAGAGATTTCTATGTTCAGCCGTAGGGGACGCTAGACTAGAATTTAAGATTTGATTGCTCTTGCATATGCAATATCATAATGATCTCATACGGATCTAACATTGAAATATTTTTGATTACACCATATATTTACAATGACAATACCGATTTAATTTAATTCGGAGGGTGTGAAGGTTATTTTGGGTTATTCCGTAATCTTGTATGACCGGTGCTTAGTACATTTCTGTTTGAATGAAAGCACATACATGAAAAGCTTTTTATGTACAACGAAGCTCGTATTATTTTAGTCCAATATCCGCGAAAATTCTTCTACTTGACGTAAACCCCCAACAAATCTTCAAATCTTGGTAATCCTAAAATGTGAAAAAATTACTAAGAAAAGCCGCAAGCCACTCCAACAGTGATCAAAGGTCGTACAAAATTTAAGCTTTATTTTTAATATAGTTAAATGCTAAATTTTGTCAATGCAGAACACTATAACATTACATCGACAAACTCCACGAACGGTAGGATCGTTCCTAGTCACGAGCAGTTCAAATTATCGGGCGTGAGGAGTGCTTTCATTTAGCATCGACCAGCCTTACGTGCCTCAGGAATGCTCTAAGTAACCTGCCTTTAATCGATCACTTTCAATTTCCATGGACGCGCTTTCCCTGCCTTTGTCCGTGATTTTCCGGGAGTCACGGCCCCATCGACTCCAGCGCGCGTATAGCTACGATGTAGTTGTTGATTGTCAAGTGAAAGTTATTGTTGTACAATTATTATACGCAATCACGAACCATAATCTGAAACAGCCATGCAACGGCTTCGGTGAACTCTGCAACGAAATTCCTTTGATGACTTGCTATTACATTTACAGAGGTTGATTTTGAACTTCTAAATTCGTTTATATTTTTACACGGCTTCTTTGTAAACATAAATTACTATTTTAAACATAAAATAGTATGTATAGTAAAATAGTATAGTAAAAAAGCTGGTAAGTGACGTCCATTTTATTTTACAATTTTTATTTTGCGCTACAAACTAGAAATTAGCGCAGTTATGACCGCTGAGTCGAGAACAACACACTGCAATCGTTACGTCAAAGTGGTCAGAGTATTTTCACTTGCAACATGCGAGACCAGTGTTACGCATCACACTCATCGCGTTATCCATGGTATCTTCGAGCTCGTAGTTTCGCTAGTGAGTGTGTTGTTGTAATTCTTTGTAGATCTCTAATTGGCATAGCGGAAGCTTAGGATGTATAAATGTTATTAGATTATTTTAATTTTTGCAGGAAATTCTTACGTACAGGGACACTGGAACAATTTTTGTTGTTAAATGTTTTAATAATTTCATTTAAATTTCGGTTCAAATTTACGTCCATGCATCGAAACATATATTACAAATAGAACACAATGTCAATTATGGATTTTTCTGATAATGCTCCTTCAGTACAGCAGTTATTGTCTTCTTAAATCTCAATGCGTAGAAACTATTCAACGAATCTCTCTATCTCCCGAATCTCTGAGATTTCCAAAGATGTATGGATTAAACCACTCATAAGTGAAAGTAATGAGTAAACAAGCGACATATGGCGCTACGACTTAGCTCTATCTCGCACAATTCAAACTAACTCTCGACAATGACTAGCAATATTTCAAATCTTTGTGAGTGTTCAATCCAAATTTCTACAGCGCAAGCTTGTGTGCAGATTTTTGTAACTTGCTTTGAAGAATTTCTCGACGACCGACGCTCTCTCCTAACAAGGATGTCTCATTTTTCAGAACAGTAGTGAAACGAGACGAAATTGTATGTTATTACTGATTTAAAAATGACAATAATTTGAAATGCTGTCTTTTTACAATTCATTTTCGTTTTTTTAAAAGATTTTTGTAAATTTATTCTTTACGCGTCGAATGTCTCCGCTGGCACAATACATGTCAAATGGAGCGTATTTGTAAAATAAATTATAAAGAAGGTTTAATTTTTTCACTCCCTTGTGCTGAATCCTATTCTCTCTTTGGAAGTGCGTATTATTGACACGTTGATGTATATGAGTATATCCAATGCGATTCACGTGAGGACAGGTTTCGTTAAACATTTTGAAGGATATGTACATGTCGCTTTATTTTCCAAACTTTGCATGGGCAGTCGGTATATAGAAATCTATAATGTCAGTACAAAGTACGATATTAAATCCCTACAATACGCCTTGGATGCCTACTGGTTCACTGCCTATTCAAGCGACCAGTTCCTTTCAAGTGCTAAATCCCACGAAGGAAATTTGTTCTCTCGACATCCGAACTGTGAACTCTGCTAGGTCTACGACTCCTTGACGACTAGGACGTGAAGGTTCCTAGTCCAGCAATGCAAAGCTCATCGTTAATAATTCGGGGTAAATGCAACCTGGACTGATCGCTCACTGACACTCTCAAGATTGCTTCAGTGGCAACTCGTTGTAGCCAGCGGATTCAGAGAGCAAGAGTTTATTGTTCGAGTGAAAGGACTCTTGCTGGGCTCTGTAAACTGGCGGCGCGGCGGTTGCTCAGTCAGCTGATCGCTGCACCCTAGAGAAGAGTGACGCACCTCCGCCACCTTAGGTGCCGCCGCCTCGGATGTTCGTAACTTCGTCGGACTCGCGCAAGTGTCGGATTTGTTGGTTAAAACTTCTAAACTTTCCTGAGTCATATGTCAGTGTTTCTTCATTGCTAGAGGAATGAAATTGTTATTCGGTGTTTAATATGAAAATTGTAACTCTAATTGAAAAATATAACTTTTTTCATCGTAGGGGAAATTAAAAATTTTTGCACATCTCCCGAATGATCGAGTGTTGTGTTGCGTGTACTGAAAATAAGGAGCTAAATAACTCAAGGACTATTAAAACAATTTCATTTGTGTTTTTTAATTTGTTAATCTTTTCATGTGTTTAGTTGAGAACTAATCTAAAGGGGCTATGAGTACTCTTGGAGAAATTTGTCTCTTTCACAGAACATCCAAGGCAAGGCTATGAATAGGAACAAGCGGCTAAAAAACACTCACAACTGTTGTTTGTTCCATTCATCTGTGTTTAGAGTGAAGAATCAATTGCAGAAAGTGTGCGAAATAGTACACTTTGTACCTACCGGCAATTGAAATCCAATGCTTTGAAATTCGTCTCTATTCAGAATACGCAAGTCACGTAAGCACGTGAACAAAAATCTGTTTTTTGACTATCGACTTAAAGTGATTTTGACGAGCCCAGGTCATCGTGGGAAATAAACGTCGCATTGTACGACAATGTATTGAGAATACCAAGTCATGGTGCAACTCAAAACTCGGCCGGTATATGACCGCAAGTTTTACGCTCACTGCAGCATTTGATGAGAACTCCGTGCGGATGACACCCGCTCAACGCGACCATGCTACCAAAATTAAACATTTAGTCGAAGCTATCAAATATCGCATACATCTATAATACTTAGGAGTACTTTTCGAAAGCATCTTCATCCAATTGACGAAAGGGGAGGTCCCCAAATCCCCATACGAAGCCTCGCAAGGAGGGGGAGGTCTCTCCGATGGCGGGGATTCTGAATGCTGTAGTCGTCGTAGTCTTCGTGAATCTGGTGACGCGCGTCAGAACGGAGCGTGAGTCTGAATTTTTTTAGCTATATTATTGTATTTCAAACTGTATATAACATCTGTGTTAGCGGCGGTTTGAGTTTAACGTGAAAATTGTACTGTGATTATGAACTTAATTTTAATGAGAAGTTGGAAAGGAGTACAAACGATTTATTAACAAGTATTTTCATTGAATAAATAGTGTGTGGGCCGTAGATTTACTTCACTGTAAAAATATAAAAGTTGATTTGCTAACATATTTAAAAATGCACACGTATGTTCAAATGAGGAACATTGCAATTTGTCGAACATGAACTCCTGAATCTTATATTTAACAGCACAGACTACGAAATATTTTCCTCATCTTTAGTATCCTTGACGGGCGTTTCAATTGTTTCCCTGTGAATGTTATCTACGTAATTAACGTCTTATCTTGGCTGAAGGATACCTAGAGTTCCTATATGTTGTTACCCTATTGTAGTCGAATGCTAGCTTTCTCCCAGACTTCACTTTTCACGCTTATTCTTCTCAATACTTTGCAAAGAAGAACCCTGCAGCTTCAGTTTCATTTCCTATGAAATAATATCCTTTAATTATAATTAATTATTTACTATGGAATGATATGGTTCTTTTAAGGAACATACGATGGATTAACGCCATTTTCGGTCGCCAAGTATGAGCTGCTCTGCTGAGCAGTTGTCTGTAATGATGGTATGCCACATCCCAAATTAACTTCCATCCAATATGGATTTATTTTCCCACAGAGTGAACTCATCAATTGTTTTCCCTTACTTTAATTGGTAATGTGAGACTGTCTGATAATTGAGAAACAACATATGCAATATTTAATTTCTTGGAAAAAGGACCAGAACAACGTTATCGTTGTAAAATCATCTTCGTATTCTACAGCTCTTCTTAATTGTTAATTATTTTTTGCGAAATTCGTTAATGTTTATTCAAATTTACGCAAAGAGAGCTTTACGTTCACAGAAATTTAAATGAGTTGTCTCAAGAGGTAAACTGTGCACAGTTTAATAAGAATGAATTTTTTTCGCCTTAAAGCAATCAGGTATCGATGTCGGATGAGAAATCAGGGAATTAAAAACTATAGACATTAACAATTGAGCATGTTGTCTTTTTCTCCATAAATTGAACGCAATGAAAAATACCTAATTAGAGTCTAAATTGATGTTGAACAGTTGATGCCATCAACTTGCATACAGCTGATGCTAAATGCAAGTTATTTGTAATCCTTCATTCTGATAACAATTTTAGGTCGATTATTGCAATAAAATATTTGGTGTAGAGTATCCATGTATGAGGAACAGCATCTTCAGCGGACAACATCAGAACCATAAAGCCGGATCTGATGAAGCATTTGCATATGCAGGATAAGATTTCACTCCTTCACGTTTGTGACTGCCGGACACTTTCACAAGCATCTATTACCTCTAGGTCAAATCACCATTTCAAAATTTGGTTAATATATCAATTCAATTGAAACCGTTAGCATATAATTAATATACATTTGCATACAGTTTTTGTTAGCGTTAAATTGTAATATGAGTGAGTTCCAGAAGTAATGCCTAACGTGGTTGATATGTAATAAGTAGGTAATTCTCATAAAAAAAGCCGAATTGGCTACGCTCAATTTCATTCCAATTTCCTCGAATCGCATGTTGTTAAATTAAATTGATGCGAATAAGTGATCCAAGTGAGCGTGAAAGAAAAGTATGAGACTAAATTGCGCTAGTGAGTACAATAACGTGCAATCCATAGATTACTAAGAGACGTTCCCATTGAATTTGATTAATCTAAACAATGATATTAATTCCGCTTTGAGCGTTCCAATAAAGTGTCTCATCGTCTGACTGGTTTGAATTCTCTAGATGATTCGGGGCGTGAAAATTGAGCCCACTCAAGCGATTGTTAGAACAACGAACTTATTCATGATACTGCTATTCTATCCACCCCAGGCTCTCTCTACACGTTGTTGTTGCTTGCTTGTAATAAAATAATTCTAATACAAAATTATCATTCAAATTGAAACATACCAATATATACGAGCGACGAAGATGCTTAGAAATATATTTATCCTTTAACCAATTTAACAATTGGTGTCAGGAAACAATATACGAAATGTCGGTCACAAGCTTTGGCAGTCGCCCGATCTCAGTACAGTTTTCCCCAACACTCGCTTTCGTGTCAATTAGCTCGGTGTATTGTGAAGGAAAGAGAGCTCCAGGTCTACGCAATGGCAACGAAAGTACGTCTGTGTGACTATATGTATTGACACGATTAGGGAAAATTTTTTTTTCATATAACATGGTTATGTATTGACATGATTAGGGACTTAGATGTTTTTTTATATAACATTGTAATATGTATTGACATGATTAGGGACTTGAATGCTTTTTTATATAACATTGTACTGATTACTTATATTTTTGCATGAATTTACAACTAGAAGCAGACAAAACACATTTTCCGTCGAATTGAGTGATTGTAGATTTGCAGTAATAGAATATCATACAATAATATTTATCCATGTCCACCTCATTCTAAAACTCAACTAAATGATTACCGTAAAGTTTTTAGATTGCGACCATTTAAAGGGGAATAAGTATAATGAAAGTTTCTTCCAATAAAAAATTATTAATTAAATTGTTATATTCTTTAATTAAAAGGGTAGGTAACTTTCGAAAAATTCTGGGAAATCATAATATATCATTTGTTTTGAAAAATGAAACGAGCATGAAACTCGAGCACTGTTCACCCATAGATATGTGACTGGTGATCACGATGGTTTAAATGGATGAACTTTCTTGAGATTTAAATATCCTATGAAATAATCACCTTAAATTAAAAAGAGTACATAATTAATTCAAGCTTCATATAATTGACCACAGTTTCATTTCTATTTAGCACCTGTTTGGCGTGCCTGCAGCAGAAGTGTTCTCTTCACTCATTGTTTTTCCTCAATGTTTTTATTGCCATCTGACACATTGCTGGCCACGGGGGATAAATTTCACTTTCTTCTTTTTTCCCCCGTTGAATTTTACGCCGTAAGAACCCCGTTACGCCGTTGAAGCATTCCCCATTAAAATTGCTAGATTTGAAAAAAACGTCGTATCCTACGGCCGACACTTGTTGACTGGTTAAAGTACACCAGATATAAATACATACAGAGGTTCTGAATGACTTAATGTTAAACGGACAACAGTATAAAAATACCAGGATTCTTGTGTCCAAAACGGCAGTGCATGGAAGAGTTCAGCCGTGTAGTAGCTGTGGTAAACTGCTTCAAAGTATATACGGGCATTTCGCACTTGCCGCGACGCAACTACACATGTAGGAAATACTCAAGCTTAATATAATAGAATATCATTTACCATGATAAATAAATTAGATTTTTTGTTCTAACGTTGATATCTTAAGTGAGCGCTGACGTGAATGAACAAAGAAGAGGTATCTTAAAACAAATTTATTCGGTGAAGTATATAATGTGAACAAGGCACGAAATGGAAAAGAATCGACGACAGGCCATATCAGGCCTACGCTTCAGCGCCGAGATCACTATGTTATGTTATAATCAAAAACTGAGATTATAAAACTATCATCATTAAACGTAAATTATTCATCCACATTCCCGATCTACTTGCAATCCGAAACTTACTCCAATCATTTTATACTCAATGAAAATCGGCGCTTGGACCAAAAAATTATTCGCATTTGAAATTGAATTATTATTCGCTAAAACATTATTCGCATCTCAGTTGGAACTCAGGTCAAGCGTTGGACACTTTCGGGACGAATTGTTGGAAAGGAACGTGAATAAGTTAGGGATGGCAAATAATTACCAATATGTCATCCACGTCTCAGGTTCCAAATTGTTCACTTTTATTTTCTATTGGAATGGTCTCTGAAATTATGACATATCGTATTTGTTATCGCATTTGTTTAGTTTTGCTTCGCTTACCGTTACTTTTCTCTACGCTCACAAGCTGCGCTAGTCACTTTCATTTCGCTCTCCTCGGTTCAGTTGTCAGCTCTGGAAGAAAGCGCGGGAACGAATCGTTGCGTCATTGTTGCTGCTTAGCATTGCTTTTTCCACAAGATAAATCTTTTAATTTGTCACTTTAATTGATTTTCACGATTTTTAATTTAAATTGGAATTCCCTAGTAACCACAAAACAGTTGGAGTGAGCTATTAGTGTTAGAGTGAGATAATTGTTTTAATTTGTCACTTTAATTGATTTTTTTGCGATTTTTAATTTTGAATTGGAATTCCCATGTAACCACAAAACAGTTGGAGTGAGCTATTTTACTGTCGTTTTATGGTCACCATTATCGAAAGTGATTTGACAGCCTTCTTTAATACTACTCAATAAAGCAGACACTCAAATAAAATAATGTAATTTTATCGTCATCATTATCGAAAGTAACTTGACCGCCTACTCTCTGCCTGAACATGCTTCTCAACGTTACTAGGCTGAGTTGTATGTGAAGACTGCGTTCGGACATTTTTTCCCCCTGAAGCAATAGGAGGTTAGTTGATCTCACTTGTCGGCGTCCGTGATTAAGTTAAATGCCGGAACGGCTCACATTAGGATTAGAGCGCGGATTTCAACGTGCCGTGATGCTTTCCCATAATTTGGACTGCAACGTCATCGCGTTAAATGAAGCGCAAAATATTCTGAAATCTTGCCCTAATTTATCTGTACGAGTCACAGATTTATAGAGCAGGCTATAGGTGACACGCTCGAAGTAGATATGGCTTTAAAATGAATTGTTTTAACATTTTTCAGAGACAGTAGATGAATGATTCTATTCAAGTATTGACGTGACCGAAAGATGTAATATGTGAATTTGTAGTTATAGGTCATTCTTGAGAGGAGTAGCTTATCCACATTAGAAGGGTTTGATATGAAAGATTTTACTATGTTTTGAAAATGACAACTTTATATATAATAATTTGCATCAGAATTTATCTCATGACAAGCATATGTTAAATTTGGATATTGGCACTAGTTGCACTTTTGTTGCTAGATGCAACAACAAGTGAACGATCAAAGTCACGGCGGGAGAAAACACAGTAAATGTAAAATTGAACGATGAGATTTTTGTCCAAGCATAAATCAATTTGCAAAAATTATGATAAGTGACCATAAGTCTCAATTCATGATAAGTGACCATCAGACCATTAACTTCAAATATATTGGTGAATAGATCGCCCATAACCAAACTATTGCTATGATAGAATAGCGTGCATTCACCCTTTCCGATTAAATTCGCGAAGCCTCTTTCACTATTACTTACATGATTACTTATTTCTACCATACGTCAAAATCGTCGGAAAGCAGTACGTTTCATGCAAGTGCTCTCCGAGTTTTACTTTCAGTAACTCCTGCAGTCACTCGGCCGACGATTTTAGCGTGAGTGAGCAATGCTAACTCGAAGTGATAGCTTTCAGTCATCGTTTGACGATTTTAGCGTGATTGAACAATAGGCATAGCTTTCAGTCATGGTTTGAGTGATGGGTGCACCGTGTTTCGCATTCTGAGCGCCTACGCAATAAGTTAAAGAGCGTGATAGTTAAGCGTGGAGGGCTAGCGGGAGGGGAAACACTTTCGCTGACTAGGGCTGCTGCTCTAGGCGGTGAATCGCGTCGACAACTGCGGTGCTCAGGCGCAGGTTGCGGTCATGATTGAACCGTCCGTGGCTCTGTCGGACGGCAATATTTATTCCTGAGGCGAACTTACACCCGCAGCGGTACTTCGTTTTGTGATGAGTTTTTGTTGGATATTTTAATTTATGTATCGGCATATCAGTTTTTACTGGAATTTTCTATGGGAGAAGAATTATTTCCCGCACCGATTGATTATTTTCTACCCTATTTTTTATCGAGAGAAAATTTTTCCCGTAAGCGTTGGATACATTATTTTAATAATATCCAATCGTATACTGAATGACGTTGTTGAGTTGAATTGTTCTCGTTAAATAAACGATATTCTTGATATTGTTCGCAAATCTTCGGGGCCTAATTTTGCTTTTCCCTACAGAATGCGGGTTGTCTTATTTCAACACACACCGAGAACCTCGCCGAGGGCTCGACAAACACCGCGTCTTCCTGGAAACAAACTCCCAGCCACACAGTCAGGCAGATGACTGGCTCTCAAAAGGCACTAATATTGAGTTAAGAAACCTTTTATCTGCAAGGGCATTCTTCACTGACGAGGAAACACATCAAAGTGAAAATTACAATAGCCAGGAAGATAGTAAGGAAGAAATAGACGTGAAAAATTCTACCGCGCGGATGAGGAAGAGGATGAGGACGAATAATAGGATGATGATCTTCCAAGACAAGTCCCGAGGGCGGATCATTGGGGGAAAAGAAAGTAAACAGGGCGCGTGGCCGTGGCAGGTAACATTTAAGTATCTTTAAACTTTCTTTAAGTTTAGTAAACTTCATTTAGGTATCGCAAACTTCATTTAAGTATTGTAAACTTTATTTAGGCATAATTAAACTTGATTTAATACGACAGAAATTGTACCGGTTCGCAGAGCATGGTAAAACTATAGTAATCGGAATAATTATGCCACCAATCGAAAATATATTAATTGATGGACCTTGGACAGAAACTATAACTAGGAATCAACAAGACTTTTAAACATGAAAGGAGTCCATACTTTAACATATTCAGGTTGAATTAACTGCTGATTTAATTAAAATTGGTCAAGGATTACATGTAACGTAAGCTTATTGAGCACCTCTCAGAAGATATTGTTAATGTCGAAGATATTAATGTTGTTTAGTGCAGAATTATTCGTGGGCAGGTCTCGGTACAATTACTTCACCCCCGATGGGGCAGAGTGGGGCATTGGTGTGGTGGTGTGCTCATTGCCCCGCGGTGGGTGGTCACTGCTGCACACTGCATCAAAAAGTAAGAGGGAAATAATATATCAATTGAGTGGGTTCTGAATGAAAATTTTCAGTAATATGTTGCTAATGGGAGACAATTTTTTCGAGATTCCAATAGTTCTGTGTGTATTTGTTTGCAGACTATGTCCCTTGCAGTCTAGAAGTGAAACATAATTTGTTTTTACATAATTATCGGTGTTTTTTTTTTAATTTTTTTTACCTTTTGAAAACTCATCACATCCCGCAGCAAAGCTTTCAATCTTCCATACGCTCCCCTATGGTCCGTGCGCCTCTCGATATTCGCTGATAATATTGGCGAGAGAGAAGAAACTTCAACTTTCGATACCATTAACAAAAATTCTACGTACAAACCTGCGAACTTTGATACCTTTGCTAACGGTAACGACGATTCAACTTCTCGAGTGGCTGCGAGTCAGGTTATTTCAAAAGACAACAAAGAGGATTTTGTTGACGACTTCGATGAAAATTCTAAGATTCACAGTACTTCTCACCTTAATAGTGATACTTTTATATCGAATAAAACTATTGATTCAAGTCGAAAGCAAGTCAAGTCTCTGGCAACACCAGTGATGACAAACGATACTTCAGGACCAAAAAACGAAATGAAGGCTTCAAGATTTAATTCAACTGCGGGAGACTTGACGCAGACGAAAAAAATCAGTCAAATAGGGGGATTTATAAACGATATTCCCTTTGATCGCCAATCACAAACTGATTTTAGAATTCAAGAAATCGACGTCAAGATAGAAAAAATATTTATCCATGAAAGATTCCGCAATTTCAAGCACGACATCGGTAAGAGCTACAAAAATTAATATAATAAACTTTTTATGTGAATCCCGTATCATTTCGAAATAATTGCTGCCTTTTTTAGAACAATTTTTTCAAAGTTTTGGATGCGTTTCATAAATGAAATTAATGTTCGCATAACCATTGAAATTATTATCAATAAGTACGTCCTTCTGAAATTTGTTTCGCATGCCACTTTTTTGAAGACGGTATGCAACATATATTCCGTTTGCATCACGTTTATTCAATTACCTAATAATGAAAAATAGAGGTATCAAATACTTAAGATTTCACTCGAATTTATTTAGCTTTCTTTCGTTACGTATTTGCTCCGTTAAATCCACATACTATGGCCGCTATATCGCCTAAAATACTCGTACAAATTTCTTCGATGACTTTTATGCCTTCGCTAGTCATGAGCTCGTCCTCAGAGTTATTATTGACACTGGCGAAAGTTCTGCCTGATTTATATAGTCTGTAAATTTTACCCGGTACTTTCATCCAGATCGCTTGCAACTGTCAATTCTTTTAGATCGTTCGACTTGCTAAAATATCGCAATTCCCTCTCCATTCTTTAAGAACTTTTACTAACTGGAATTTTCAACGAATGAGAATCAAGGCAAAATTCCTGATTGTTCCAGTAAGGCGTTCACATTCACGAATTCGGCTGCATTGTGGCAAGTGGTGCTCGGTGAACATGACAGATCTGTGGTGGAAGGCAACGAACGACTAACGACCTCCTCGATAGCTATCAGAATGACATAGGTGAGACAGCATCCTTACTAACGACCTCTTCGATAACTATCAGAATTACATAGTTCAGACACCATCCATACTCACGATCTCTTCGATGACTATCAGAATAACATAGGTGAAACACCATCCTTATTCACGACCTCTTCGATACCTATCAGAATGACATAAGTGAGACACCATCCATACTCGCGACCTATTCGATAACTATCAGAATGACTTACGTGAGACACCATCCTTACTCACGACATCCTCACCTCGAGCATTACACACTCAGTTTTTTTGAGAATCCAAGAGTTTGGCAATCTGCACTGAAGTAGATGAACTTGGTCAAGCACTAAAGCAAGTGTGATAGGTGTCATATCAACGTTTAGTTCTAGAGCCAACAGAATCAAGTAGGTAAGACTTCTTACGAATGGTGTGTATGGAGCCGTCCTGATTACAATGACTTGTTTTGTACTGAAATGTTTCATGACGTTACAAAGTTGAATAACTGCTGATGATATTTATACATCTGGTCATATTTATTTTTGTGACTTCATGACTTTTTCTGCTGCTGAACTCTGTCGACTCTTTACAACTTTTTTCTCAACCATTTTCTACTTCTAAGCTAATTGACGAAAACGAATGAAGTTCATTTAGCGCATATGGCGGTCCAAGATATTTTGCCATAGTTAATTGTCATTTAAATTTTAGGATCTGAATATTCTATTTTAATTGCAAAATGCGCGATAAGCGGATGAAGATAAGCTAGAAATTCCATTCTACCTCAACTAATTCCTGGATTACACGCAGTCACTTCATGACCAAATACTTTCAATCCGGGTTCCGATAACCGGGTCTTCGAGAAGAGTGGCATGCGAAACTAATTGAAGGCTCACTTTGCTTTAAGTCATAGTCTAAACATTGTATTTTTTAATAGCGCTCCTGAAGCTAAAAGCCATACCCACGTCACTGTTCAAATCAATCCCGATCTGCTTGCTGGACGATCCTTTGCTGCATAAATACAACTTTGAAGGAGACCCTTGCACGGCAACTGGTTTTGGTAGCATTGAAAATGACGGTACCTTGCAAGTGGACCTCCAGGAGGCAAGTATGCCTGTTCTGGATCCCAAGGTCTGCACCGAAGCCTACAATGTTTCACATCTCAGTGAAGTCAAAATCAGCGACGGTCATTTGTGCGCCGGCTCTCTCGCCGGAACTTCTGGTACCTGCATTGTGAGTCGTTTTCTTTACGTACTCAATAACTGCTTTATTAACTCATTATACCCTGGTGCACGGCAATAAAAGCGTTTTGTAAGTTCGCTAAAAAATCGTTCTGTCAAGTTGGTAATGGTCGTAGATTTATGCAAACATTGTCGTATCATGCAGTTTTGTTCGATTTGAACGGCGATCTTTCTATTCACTCACCGTCTTAACACTTGTTTCGTTTTCTTTGGACTGTGCCATACCTTCGCAAGTGTGCTCTTCACACCACAATCACTCGTAAAGGGTTTCTTTCTATTAATCAAACGCCTATGTTTCTGATAGACTCCAACTAATCTAACGCATTGATAGAATTAAATTTCTTTCTGCGGTTTTCATCTTTCGCGATCTTTTACTCCTCTATTTTTACCCGTTGTTAAATTTTTCTAACAAAATTGTCGTCCCCGAAGCTCTTCTTCGCCTGGACGTCGATGTGACGTTCACCAAACACATCCAGCCAATCTGTCTGCCCGACACGAAGACATTGCGCGAAGAATCATTCCTGGGCATCAAATGTGTTTCTGTTGGCTGGGGCATGCGGCTGTACGGAGCTCGACTTGAAGACAAACTCAAAGAAGTGTGGTTGCCGGTCGTAGCCAATGTTCATTGCGCCAAAATGTATGGCATGATCCATAACGTGCCTGTGCGACACTACCACTTGTGCGCTGGGTCGCTCAACGACGGAGGCAGCGGGACATGCATTGTGAGTTGACATTGTCTAGGCCTTGTGTCACAATGCAACGTCAATGCATTGTCTAGGCCGTTGTGGACATTGTCGGGGCCTGCATACAAAATTCGTCTTGCTGGGCTTGTAATGAATTATTTTCAACGGCCGAATATTCTTTCTCCTAACTTTTTCAATTAATTGCCGGGCTTGAAATAAAATATTTTCTATGTCCCAAGATTCTTTCGCCTGTCTTTTTCTATTAATTGTGGGTCTGAGCAGGGTAGCACGCACTATAATTTCATTCTATATTGCATAAATTCAATCGTGCATGCGTGACCAACAAAACTTGTCCAGAATTTGAACACATTATCGGCATGGCATAATAGAATGAACGCTCATAGATGGGATTTTTACGGTTTAAGTTTCAAAATATAAAAGAACATTTCCATTTTGATTGAATTTTGTAATACACAGTCCTCGTACTGCATTGCATTTGATACTAAACATGAACTATGTACAATATAACCAACACCTAGCTTACTTCTGCACATAATTTGAAAAAGTCAAGACTTTCAAAATTTCTTCGCCGATCATTGCATGCGGTGGCTATTTTATACTAGTTATAATAATTTTGCTTTACTTCATCATCGTTTCGTTTTTCATTGGATTATTAGTTGAAAGGCTCAGATTAAACAATCGAGCCAATACTCTGTATCAATTATGACTTTTGATTCCGCGTACGACATTTCATTTGCTTGCATGAGCATTATTGTAAACTTTCACCGTCGCGAATGGTTAGCAATACTTTAATCATAGTTCCGTCTATCATCATAAAGAGCTTACACATATATATAATATATAATTTGCTGTGATAACAATTAACAATGTGTCGATTTTGGCCGGAAAAATACCGGCATTTTGTAATCTCTGGGTGAATTCTGAAACCAGTGAATAATATTTGCTTGGTTATCGGAAACAATTTAGAATAAATAACATTCTATGAATTATTTCTATGCATTTCTTTTTTGTCTCATTGGAAACAATATTAAAATATAAAAAATTTAATGAACTCTTTCTTTTCATTTTTTATATCACTGGAAACAAGATTAAAATATTTGACATTATTTGGAGTATTTCTGTATGTTTCCTTATTCCTTACCGGAAACAATATTAAAATATATGGAATATTATATATGAAGTATTTCTGTTGTTTTTATTTTATCTTACAAGTATGCATGTATATAGTATGTAGTTATCCTGTATGCATCGCATGTAGTTATTCTGATGGTTTTCATTCCATTCCACCAGAAAGAATGTTATAATAAATATCATTATATGAAATATTTCTGAATTTCTCAATTTAATCTGGCGGTTGTTCACAACAGGGCGACTCAGGCGGTCCCCTACAGTGCAACATGAAGGACGGGCGCTGGTATCTGGCGGGTGTGACGTCATTCGGGTCCGGCTGCGCGAAGCCTGGCTTCCCTGATGTCTTCACGCGCATCACTTATTATCTTCCGTGGATTAAACAAAAAATGAGGGCTTTTTGATATATTGTACAATATTAATGCAATGAAATTGATACCTGCTTCAAAACTTTTTTATATTTTTTCAATTTTTGATGTATATGTTCATATGTATTTTTACGGTTATCGTCTTCGCGTAACCTAGTATGTCTTGCATCCGCAAAATCCTGGCATGCCTATCTAATGAACGCAAAATTAAATGTTTTTATATATTTTGACTAGGTATATTATAGTGGGCAAAACATTGTACTTAATCTTCACTCGTTGGGAACTTTTTAAAGCATTTTTAATCGAATTTAGGTTACAAATTATTAAAAACATTGGTAGCATTAGTTTATATAATGCACAGGCTCCCAAGTATGGTATTAGACATTTCTTAATACAATAAGCGGATCATAACTCTGGTCTTGGTCATAAATAAACTGATGGAATGAATACTCACTTGCGCTAAATAACGCGCCATTACTTTCTTACAATTTTCTTGGGGGTAATTGCTACAATAATATCGTATAAGTTTGTATATAGTAAGTCATCTCGGAATGGCTCAATTAGTCGATGGTTTACGACATTATTACTAAATGTGAGAATATGGTACTACACCTCAGTGCCAATATTCATATTTTATGTATAAACAAGGCAAAGAATTAGTGACTCAGAAACAATAGAATTAAATGTCTAGTGATCTTTTGTTTGCAAGTTGGTGATAAAAAAAGGTTTCAGAACTATAGTGCAAAAATTGATTGTTTGACAATAAGATGGTAATAGTTGTAGCAGCCACTGTTGTAAATAGTTACAGAATAATGCTGATGAGTAATGATTAAAATAGCAATGATAATGTTAAGTATCCAGCGTACTATCTAGTCACCGCATTGCTGTTATGATCTCTAATGATTAATCGCGGTTGTGTCGTTTTGTTATCAGGTTTCCAATCATCATGATCCAACTACAAATTCATGTCAACAAAATTATTCTGTTTTTTATTGAAATTTTTATTTCCTAATGCTGGTTCCACATATACGCGGAATCTAGGTTTCGATTCAGTAAATGCTGCCAGCAATTGAGAGCAGAAATAGACGTTATCATCAAGCTTTGAACGCGGTTAGTATCGTTATTCACTGACTATTCGGATGTTGGTACAAAATTAAACCTCGTCGTTGTTGTATTTGAACGGCCTTCATTGTTTAATTTTTATAACATACATAATACTAATAATACAAATTTTTTGATAATTGCCCCCACTTTATGACAGATTCCTAATAAAGTATTATTATTCATTTCGACATCTTGCGTCATTTTAATGGAACAGTAGTCGATTTAAATGCGTTCCGTCCCCATAACATTGTATTTTGATAACGGATACCTAATTGATAATATCAATTAACATGTCTCAGCTTAATTAATATTAACAATTATAATTAACATGTCTCAGCTCGTGGCGTAATTTTTAAACGGTTTCCTCGTCGAACTTGACCTCGGCCCTTTCTGTGCTAAGCTGATTTAGTCTCTTGCACGGCTTCGTAATACCGACGTAAGAAAGCCAGGCCGTGACGAAAAATTTTACCTCTTTAGCTCAATTTTGTTTAGGCTTAATTGAAATTACTAGTAGGTTTGTTGTAAACATGGCATTGTGGTTTGGATTCGAGCAAATAATTCTCTCATTCATTAGTCCGGTACATATTTTACTTCAGTTCAAGAAAAGTATATTTCGCGAAAGATCGCTAGCCGCTAGGTTCTCATAACTCTCCGTAAAGATCGAGTACAAAAACTCAACCCTGCTATATCAGTAAAATTAACTCTTCAATGTCGTATATTTTTATTATTTTTTTCCTGGTTCCATTAAATTTTATAGGGTAAGATTATTTACTCTTCATTGTATTACTTAGTTATTTGAGTTGCTAGCGAGCTTTCCATCAGTTTTAATTAAGGAAATAGACAGGTATCGTTAGTTGTATAATTTTCTACATCAAAATAACGCTATACAGTACGAAATGGTTTACCTTGATACGAAAATCTGTCTCATACGAAAACCGGAGAAATTTTTAGACAGAAAACGAGCTCTCTGACAACTGCAAATCTTCTTACAATAATAATTGAAATAATATATATAATTGATTTGCTAATAAATTTTCATGAAGAAACGCTCATCCAAACATTGTATATTTTTTTTCAATGACCGCATGTGCAGCCACTAAAGAACATTGGTCTTGAATAAGATTCTACAATAGCCATTGCCCATTATTAATAAAGAAGAATGAGACATATTTTTAACTCTGCACTTTCAATGGACTGTCTTTGACCGCTAACAAGCAGAGAGAAGCGATACGATATCTAGAACTGCTCCAAAGAACCTGGCGTGTATCCACCTATGTCCAAGGCTCAAGAAGACCCTCAAGTTAGCCTCTTACCACAGTCTTTGAGCCTGAAGGCCTTATATAAGGCTGGAGTGGGCACTGCTTGCTTCACTGCTGCAACCACTCCCACTGCTGACCGCTGGAACGCAGGCAATTCCTTACAGCCTCTCCTATTGCTGAGAGGTCAAACGCCGCAGACAACTCGTGCTTTTTGTTACAGCTGCCGCTGATGAAAAGTTAGACAGAGAAAATTACAGCAGGTTACGGCAGTCACTCCTGCTTTAAAGTGATACACAAAACTCTATCCGATTACAACAGCTTCTCTTGCTGACAAACAAAACTTGGACATTTCGAGCTCTTTCCAACGGTCATTTACCAAGCTAAGTGACGTTCAGAACACCCCTGCTGGTTACAAGTTCTGGCATATCTTTCTGAGCTGCACCGACCAAGTTACGGTAATATACTTTATTTTTTATTTATTCCAATCTGAGCTTCAGGTGTTAAGACTTTAATCCACCATGGCGGATGAAACCGAAGAAGACTACATTTGTGATCTGATCAGTACCTGTTCAACAACAGACGAAGACAGTATAGATACTCCTCCGGTCCCAAAAATCCTCATTGAAAGCATTACCACCATCCGGACAGGCTTCACAGAGCCTCCGATAGAAAATAAGATGAAAGGGGTTGAGCTGGACGAACCCCGCAGTCTGGATAACGACTGTAACAGCCAATCGTCGAGCACTTGCGACAGCGCCGACTTCTCAGCAATGAGAGAAGTGAGGCGTCGGTCGGGTAAATATACGAACAAAGAGACCTTACAAAGAGTATCTGAACTCGTCGAGTATTATCTCAGTAATGACAATCTCGTTAACGATATGTTCCTGCTCAAGCACGTCACCAAACATAAGGAAGGTTACGTGTCTCTGAAACTGCTCGCTAACTACAAGAAACTGAAACGCCTCCGTAAGGACTGGACTGTTCTGGTAGAAGCGATTCGTGATTCGCCAAATCTGCAGATGAATGCGGACTGCACGAAAGTAAAAAGGCGCATCAAACTGCCTTGCGAGCTAGAAGAAGACACCCGCCTCTTCAGGTCAGTTCTGGGATACGATATATCTGAGTCCCATGCAGCAATGGACAAACTGGCTGAAATCTTCAGTAAATTTGGTGATGTTGACTCCATCCAACTACACAAGCCAGGTGTGAGGTCCTTTCCGGAGATTCTCCTAGCAGAGAAAGAACATCCGGGCATTGCGGCAAAATTGTGTTGTTTGGTTGTGTTCGAAAAGGTTCACTGCACTAGACTCGCCCTCAAGCATCTAGCAAACAATCCTGACCTGAAAGTAATGGCGGTGCCTCGACGCAAGGCCTCATCAGACGGAAAGTTGGAGATTTCGTGCATGCCTCGCGAGTACGAGAGCGCGTATTTCAGCGCTTCTGATTTGGAAGATCCAGGATCTCCTTTTCTGTTCCGATCTCAGACTCCTCATTTCGGCGTTAATCATCGGAACGATGCCAGCAACTGGAGAAGTCGGTGCATGTCTCCCTGTTCTTCCACAGCTTCACCGCAGTCCAGTCGACGTGGACCTGCTAGTATTTGCTCCTTAAGAGACGACAGGAGCAGCTCGAGGCTGAGCTCGCCCCTTACGAAGAACAGATGCATGCCGCTGCATACGCGGAAATTGATCGCCGTTCATCCCATGCAAACGCCACCAGACTCCCCTGTTCCCATGAGAAGGCTTGGCCATCTTTTCCAGACGGCATCGGCACCCAACAGCCCGTGGAGTCGACGTAAAATCCTCGTGAGGAACGACACTAATACCTCCAGTGAAAACAACTGGCCCGCGTCTCCTCGAGAAAATATTCCGTCTAATGTCCTGAGGCTTCCAAAAGGGCCCGATAATACGAAAGGCTTCCACGCAGGATTTAGAACTGCCGCCGTGGTCGCGTGAAGACCCAAGAATTATTTCCAACAGATTTGGTCGAGCAGCGCCGGTCAAGATAGAGCATGGATGCAGTTAAACATCTATTCCTGGTACATATTAATTTGAACTTGGTACTGAAAAAGTTGGAGACCTGATAAAATGTTTGGACAATTAACTAGATCAGATGTTCCCGGCCATAATTATAGTTGATTTAATATTGATTTTTTTTCAACAACGTAGAAATGCAAACTCTTACTTCATCTGTCGCTGACGTGATGCAAATCGTAGAGTGCAGAGAAGCATTATCTTGAACATTCATGATCATACGAATTAAAACAAAATGTGTGTTAATTGATGTATGCGTTTGATACTATTATTGTTATTCCTATGATTAAGAAAGTATTGACGAATTTCACTAGCATTAGACAATACATATTACGACTAACTGTCTTTGAATATCCGATCACGACAAAGTTCATCAATTATGAAACGTAAACTTGGCTGCGGAGCATCTTCGGAAATTTTTATCGCCGGAGAATAGTAAGTTAAAGTCAGGAAATTTAGACTAACCAACAGCTCCTCAACTTTTAGCTAAAACGAAATGATTTAAATTTACAATAGTATGAAATGAAGGAGTAAATAAAAAGAGGAACTAGACGGATATTTTCATATAGCTGATGATCCACTCTAACAATGTGACAAGTAATAACAACCTCACAGGTTGATGCACGTACATCAAAAGGTCATAATAACCGGAGACACGGAATATATATATGTACATCTTGATGAATAACTCTTCCGTCTATACAGCTCAGTAATATACATCGAAGCTAAGGCGCCTCTTGATGACAAAACAACAATTGCATCACATAGAGAAATGCTGTATTGAAAGACGAAGCACGCGGGTAAATCTATAATGTACAGCAGTGACACCTTCCCAAATACTGCACCCAATAAGCAAGCTATTTAAATGCCTTGCAGCTGAGAGCTTTCCGGTCGGCAGCTTCAACAAGTATGTACCCCAGCAAAATTTAGAGTCGCCCCAGCTCTGGGGCCATACTTTTAAAACTCGCTAAGTGAACGTAAATACTTACGCTCTATTTTCTTCTCCATGATTGGTGGATTTGGCTTGAATGGCCGTCAATGATTGGCTGATGAACTTACGATGTCTTAACTTTTTTTGAAAGTATAGGCCCTGGTAATCCTAATCAGAAGCTGCTACGTCTGTAAATTTTCACTGGGTATAGGAAAACCACTTAGAAAAACGTGGGAGTGATTTTGTCCACATACCGACACGGGCAGATGTAGCACTGATACGCCTTAAGATGGGCTGAACTGTGCTGGCATGACCCACACAGCGGTAAAAAGTGCATCGTTATTTGGACAAAGTCACACACATTTCTCTGAGCGACTGTAAGAAGATCACACACAAATCAAGGACGACGGCAATCATAGAAACAATGGGTGGAAATTGACGGAATAAGCACAACTTGAAGATGTATACACAGATAAATAAATAATCGAATAAATTCATGGAATACAGAAGCCAATGCATGGGGAATATTCCAATAAATCTAAGAGAAAAATTACGCAGAGCGACCTTGCAAGCTGCAATAAATCCCTAAGAAAAGTCAGAGCAAGAAAAAAATGTAGCCATCTATTTTTTTCAAGATTCGACTCCATCCCTCATTTGATGAAGAGATTCAGCTATAAATTTACATCCATCTAGCAAGGAAGGCATGGATATAAAGGATCTCAAGGCTGGTAACGCCTATCAAGGATCACAAGAACACATCAGGCATTGAGAAAACACTAATTCCTTACAAGAAGAACATAAATCTTCGGTGCCACTCAAAATAATTTGTAATTATAATAATAACTACACAATTTATGTCAGTATTTCCTTCGTGATATTTCTTTACACACGAGACTTCAAGACCAAAAAAAACAGCAAAACGCACAGGATTTTTTCATACACGACAATAGGATGAGGTACAAAATTAGTTCGATCACTCTCAGAAATATTAAAGGGTCATGTTGTCTAAATAATGACACACTCTCCCAACCACAGCACGAGCTGAGAGCGGACGTAGCACTGATACACCCTTTAGCCGGCCCAAACTGAGTCAGGATGACAGACAACAACAAAAAGTGCGTTGATATTTGCAACAAAGTCTCACGCATTTTGGTGAGTGTGGCATCAAATCAAGTTACGGTGTGAGAAGTACGCGAATGACAGATAATTAATATGATTAAACACAAGAAATTACAGAGAAACAACATAGATACGAAAATAGAAACATAGTTTGATTGGTCACAGTATGACAGTGGGAGCAAGTCTATAGCTAAACAAATATAATAAATTTCTGCCTAGAACTAAAACAATCTAGAGAAAAGTACAAGGTAAACATTCAGTATAAAGACAAACTATACGCGGGGATTTCATGAGGATGCGTAGGCGTCGGAATTGCAACCGATTGACGTAGGAGGAATCTAGGGAAACAATATTCAAATTTCAATGAGGCAAGATATACATAAAATAAAGTCGCTTCTGCAGCGACTGTGCATTCTAGTCCTCTTTGTAACTGGTCCGACTTTAGCAAAAAGAAAAAAACAAGAAAAATACCATCGTACAACAAAAGTAACAGACAAGACGAAGATGACAATATATAGAAATAGAGTACAATAAAAGAAAGAAAATGAAGTGTTGAACTAATACACAGGCATAGGTTCCATTAAATCATTCATTTTTAAATGGAACATCAACTTTGTCGTAAACCACAAGTATTTTCAAGCGAAAAAACCGTCACCCACGCTCAATGTCGTGAGTGCAAAAAATTTATGCGAGGAATGATAATCTAGCATGGACGTTTTAATGAACATTGATAAAAATCAAATGAAAATGTAATAGTTATCTATGAAGGAGACTCGACCGAGATCTACGAATGCCGTTTCGAAGAATAAGAAATAAATAACAAATTGCAATAGTTCCGAGCTGGAGAAACTAAGGAAAAAATTTCAATTGCTGATAATTGCACGTAGCAGTTAAAAAATCTGTCGAACAATAACAAATTCATGTATTGAACAGGTAACAGAATAACTTGCATGCAAAATTCGAAATTCTACCGCTAAAAATCGACAGGATATTCAACTTGAATAATGGCACAAAAAAAAAATATTTTAGGAAGTTGCTAACACAGAATGCAACTTTTTTCACGTACGCCAATAGCAAACTTTTTGCCAATAATAATAATAATAATAAGAATAACCTAAACCAGCGTGTAGCCTGTTAAGTTATCAGAAGATAATAGCTCGTGAGATTGATAGCAGTGGTCTGCACGTCTGAAACTTGTTAAAAATTTCATACCATAGGAAATATTGCACCTTAACACGCGGGTTACGAACAAGCGCAAAAAATATTTCGAAATCATATGAAGTTCGATCGAATTGTAAAAAATATACTCGTCATAATCATGAAAACATATGAGTTGCTAGACGTTTCACCAACTTACAGAACGAACAGCATACAAACTAACCACGAATACAATTGTTGGTAGACTGCAAGAAATTGAACGAGCCTCCCAACGAAATTGGAACAGAACAAAAGCTTTTACTTCATATTCAGGCCAAAATTCGACGCAATTGAAATAAACTGGCAAATCTCAGAAGCAATCTGTTGCAGATGTTAGATCTGTGTGACATCAAGACGGCACAAAGCGCTGGAATGTGAGCCGAAAATTGTTCGTGGCACAATCTTGTACCTCTAACAGGCGGGACCTGATGCTTTGATGATTGTTTTTACGATGAGTGCGTTAGGTCAGATATTGCAGGGGCAATAGTATTCCAAAAGAGCAATTATTTGTCGACTTAATGCTACGCTCTTTGAACAAGAGAATTTAATCAACGCTAATTGGGTTAGGTGTCAAGATATTTCAAGAACCGCTCTCAAAAAGGAAGAGTAGAAAAGATTAGTCTGATTCAAGGACACATTTCATACAAAGTACATACACGGAATTCAGTGCCAACTTTGTGTTCAACAATTCTGTAAAACATCATCATAAAATAAAGCGAGAAACGAGGCCGAACGTAAAAACAGAAGATGTTTTTACGTAAGAAGCTTCTTTGTTCAGCTTCTGTAAAAACAAAGCTGAACGTAAATTTCTGGTGAACAAAACTGAAAAAAATTTCAATTCTTCAAGGAGTGAAACATCTTTATTTTTATTCACTACTAGAATTAGAAACCTTCACGATGAAAGAAAGAAATATATGAAATACTCTTCGAAGTCGAAGTATTGAAAACGCGGATAGTCTTAACTAGGCTTGAATGAATTTAAACTGCATCGTATGTTCAAAGACATGCGCAACGTTTACGTATACATAAAGAAAAAAAAAAACTTTGAAATGGCACCGATTAACTGGAGTGTTGTACAAGCACCGCCTTTTTCTTGCCGTAAAAAACTAACACTGTACTCTTGCACACAATCCTGAATAAACAACAGTACAACAGTAGTACAAAAACACGAGGAAAGTAGCCCACAAAATAACTTACGAAGTCCGTGCGATATGCTACGTATATCACGTTCATTAATAAAACTAAGTAAATGTTCACTTAATACATTTACGTCTACGGCGACTGCACAGTGGAAAATACATCAACAAACACACGTTATGGTTGTCGTAAAACTACGAGAAGTGAATTTCACACCAATAATTTTATGATTTCAGAAAATCTCTAGGAAATTTCACCTAATTTCCTAGCAGTAATAATTTAAATCTCATTTATCTTGTGGTATCTTTTTTTCACTGCAAAATATATGAAGCTACACAACCATTCAGAGGCCCATGCATGCAGTTCTGGAGAAAATATTACATCATTTGGGATGAATTTGTGAACGAGCAAAAAATAATGGCACTTCAGACCAATGTACGACATTTATTCCGGCTGGATGAAGTGTGATCAATAAAATAAAAGGAGGTATGAATAATCAGCATCGGAAACTCATATCGATATCTCGAGGACTTCATAAGTAGGACTCACCTAGAAGTAGGTTAATATGAGAAACTTTTTTCCTCAACAGATAAGTTCCATACGAAGCGGAAATTATTTAGCGCAGAAAATCACCGAAATGAAGATAGATGTTATTACAAAATGTGCCGAATTAAAAGTTATTCGGCCATTGAAATTCATTATTTTGTCAGACAATCACTGGAATGAAGACCTTTTTAATTACAAAATGTGGCGAATTCCAAAATCAAAGTTAGGTTACACTTGCCAAATGCTTTCTCCAGCAAAGATATGAACACACGACAGTGTCATCACTAAACAGGCCTGGAATCGTCCGTCTTAAATAGCATTACGCTCACTCCAAGACTCGCATGCTTAGTCCAACAAAGCGTGTCGAAATTCTGTAACGTTTAAATAGTAACAAAAGAAGGCAAGAGATAACCCGTCTCAATTGAAACTTCAATCAAGATTTCGTTTGGAACACAGCACACAGAGCCAATTAAGCTGTGCATTGAACAACAAATAGAAATTCAAATCTAGAATTGGGTAGAATTGCCTCGCCTGCAATCAGCAAATGCACATAAATGTTTCAGAGAAATAGCATAGGACAACACTTTTATATCCTCCTCCTTGACAGATAATGAAGAGATAAGATCACTATCGAGGAATTCAATGTGACAAACTCGCAGCTAACGCACACTTATATAAAATGCATAATTCATGTTATTCATGAAATAAATTCGACATTGATGGCCGTTTGATGTAGAGACCATTGACAATAAGCCATGGCATGTTGCTCGGCATTTTCTGTGAAGTGCACCGATATGAAGCTGTGGAATGAAAGTTTTCAGTTCGCCTGTGGTGAAGAGGAACCCCCCAGTTGATGGGAGCTACAGAGGAAGTTCCTAGATGTTGCCCGTGGTGAAGAGGAACCCTCTTTTCAGTTCGCCTGTGGTGAAGAGGAACCCCCCAGTTGATGGGAGCTACAGAGAAAGTTCCTAGATGTTGCCTGTGGTGAAGAGGAACCCCCCCAGTTGATGGGAGCTACAGAGGAAGTTCCTAGATGTTGCCTGTGGTGAAGAGGAAGCCTTCAGTTGATGGGAGCAACAGAGAAAGTTCCTAGGTGTTGCCTGTGGTGAAAATGAGCCCCCTAGTTGATGGGAGCTACAGAGGAAGTTCCTAGATGTTGCCCGTGGTGAAGAGGAAGCCTCCAGTGTTCATGGGAGTCTTGGGCGAGGCGCACATGTACATGAAGTCATCATTGAGATGGGAACGCGTCAGTATTGGCTCGCTGGCCGAGCGATGTAGCTTAGGTAAAGACCGCACAATCGATTCCAGGTTAGCCAGAATCTGCACACAAGAGTCAAGGTTAAAAATGATGAAGGTCCACAAATGATCAAGGTCACGAATGATCAAGGTTATAAATGATCAAGGTTATAAATGATCAAGGTTATAAATGATCAAGGTTTACAAATTATACGGAGGTATAATTCAGTCAGATTAGGAGGATGTAAGAGTAACTGGCATAATATTCAATGGAATTTGGTAAAGTTTCTGTTAAATTAACGGTGAGGAAGGTTTGAATTCTTCTCTTACTGTGGCGTTAGAGAACTCTGGCCTATGGAAAATAAATAGCATAGATTAGCCTATGAATTTTGGAAAAAGAGAAGAGATGCAAAATATTTAAAACGTGCAGGTGAAACGTATATTTCATCATAAAAGAATACGCTTATCCCCAAAGGACATTTCTTATGCATACTAATAACGATTGATTACACCGTGAGAATTGCAACCACTATAGCTAAGTTATGGGATCGGAATATAAAACAGCAATTAAGTACAAGCGATCGGGCACCTGAGGGAACAGAGGTCTGTCATGATATAGGAATTGGAAGCAGCAAATAAATAGTGGCAATAAGGACCTGAGGAAACAGAGGTTTGTCATGATATAGGAATTAGGAGCAGCAAATAAATAGTCGCAATAAGGACCTGAGGAAACAGAGGTCTGTCCTGATATAGGAGTTAGGAGCAGCAAATAAATAGTGGCAATAAGGACCTGAGGAAACAGAGGTCTGTCATCATAAGCAAATTTGATGCAGTCATTGAGCAGTCTGCGGATGGGTTTGGGAGTGTCAGAGCGCAGGAGGCTTGTGTCGGGGCGCAGCAGCCCGCACCCAACACGGAACAGGATCTGGTCCTTGCTGCTGCTGTTTGCATATGGGAGTGTACCTGCATGCAAAATATACGATTAATATGATTGTTTGTCCATAGAATAATATAACTGGTTATTACAAATGCATTTACTATCACAGTAAATATTAGAAATATTGTACCTCCATAGAAAAACTAAAAACAATATAATTTTTGATACACGCATTCATATTATTGGGTATATTAATTTAATTTTTCACAACCAACAACCACAGTATATATTATCAGTTTATCACATTTTGTACATGCACGCAAAACCTGCACTCAATATCATTGATAGCTTCTCATAAACATTGTTCATGAGAAACCTAATGATACTAGAGAAGCTTCAATATTGAAAGCAAGCAGGGTCGACGACATTGTACCTGAGAAAAGTTCAAACAGAACGATGCCAAACGCGTAGACGTCGCTTTGGAAGGAATACGGACTCTCTTGCTCCATGCGAATAACCTGAATATAGGAAAAAGGCATTTAATGAGGGAACAAATATAAAATTTTATTATTACAGTATTACAATGATTATTTTACAGAAACACAGACAGCATGCCATTGTTGAACTTGTCATGGATATTAAACATAGCATAATGGCTTCAGGAAAACACAACATAAGAGAACGCAATTTAAGGCTATCCCGGTTTTTTAATTACATAGGAACTGGAGGATTTCTCACCTCTGGAGCCATCCACAATATACTGCCGGACGGCTGCCGTCCAGATCCACTTTCTTGGTTCCATCGGCCTTCCTATAATATATTGTGATACATTTATCATATCATCATATGATAATAAATTCATGTCTATTTTGAAATTCAATGGCATGCAATTTTTAATAATTTCATCACGAAAGAAACGTGAATAAAATAATTTTTCGATGAGATTCCTCTTATCCAACAACCAGAACACAATCTTGGCATGGTTTGAAGAGCTGATTACATGATTAATGAACTAAACAAAATATAAAGACAATTTCGGATAGTCTTTATTTCAACTATCAAGCTCCGTATGAAGCTCGTGTAAGCTGAGAAACACCATCGTCTTAGGTCTTGAAGAGACAATGATTCAATAATTATAATTATCCACGAACCTTGACCGTGGCGAGACCAAAATCGCCGATTTTGACAGTGTAATCATCATGAAGGAAAATATTGTTAGACTTGAGGTCGCGATGGATGATATTCTTGGCGTGAAGATAATCCATGCCCTGGGAGGTCTGGCACGCGATATCAATTAACGTCTTTAGTGGGAACTTTGTCTCCTGAACGTGAAGGTGCTTATACAAGCTGGACCCCTCACACCACTGCGTCACGATCGCAAGTTCAGGAGTCTTGATCCATCCCATGAAGAGTAAAATATTCACGTGTCGGGTGCGTTTGAGCACTGCTACCTCGTTCTTGAATGCGTTGTACTGGGCTGGTGTCGGGTCTTTGAAATTGAGAGTTTTGACAGCAACAAGACCGTGCCAGTGGCCGCGATGGACCGTCCCGAAGCTGCCCGAACCGATGCGCATGCCAACCAGTACCTCCTTGCGCGGGATCTCGAAGTCCTCCGCAGATGCGTCCTTGAACGACGATTGCCTGATCTGCTCATGTAGAACAATAGAAAGCATATACCACATATCACAATTAAAGATTATGCCTATACCCCCTATCACAATGAATAGAAAGGACGTAGCTAGTCACTTGTCCTTGAACGACGATTGCCTGATCTGCTCATGCAAAACAATAAAAAGCATATACCACATACGATATCACAATTAATAGCTGAGAGTATACCACAATTAATAATTAAGCCTATACCACTTATCGCAATTAATAGATAGGACGTAGTTAGTCACTCGACCATGAACGACGATTGCCCGAATGGTAAAGCGAAACGATCGAAAATGTATCCGGTACATCCTATTACAATAATACCTTGATTTAGAGGAAATCTGAAAAAGATCTGAACATTAGATCCATTCGAAATCACATAGAAAGAACGTAGAAGGTACTTAAATGCTCAGAACAAGGAACTTTAATTGTGCGTAGTCAGTCTCGGGTGAAGCTAACAGCATAGCAATAATGCAGGAATCGGTTCTTGAAATAATAGCCTGTGCAAATAACATGTTCACGATAGTACAAAGATGTCATATTCAAAATCTTCTGAAAATACCTCAGGTGTAACACCAACATAATTGGACTAAATAAATACCCTGAACGCCCAACAGAACAAAGGCCAGGACAAAACAGCAAACGATATAGTACGTCAAGATAATCATTAAGGTCTGAACATAGATTCTCAATTCATGTTGGAACTGTTCGGAATAAAGAGATAATTTTGGCCCTATTTTCAACTCATTTTTCAGCCCCTATTTTCAACCCTATTTCCAACTTATTTTTAGCCCTATTTTCAAATTATTTTTCAACCTATACTCAGCCCTATTTCAAACCTCAGATACGAGTTCAAGCACTAATTTTCAATGAAGCTCACCTCTGAGAGGTCGTATCTTACCTTCTTGCCAGAGACGGTCTCATCAGCAGACCGAGCCCGGGGTCTGACTTGTTTGAGTGTGTTGGTGGGGGAGGCCTGGGCCGAGTGCGACCCTTGGGACGTGCCATCACAACCCTGGCCAGAGGAGGGGGGCGGGCTGCCCCCTCCTGACGAAGCCATGTTAGGGGCACCGCCCGCCAGGTATCCTGGTAACATCATGTACGGATTTAAAGATTGGAACGACGACCCGAGGGTATTGCTGTTACCGTACGAACAGAACGGTAATTTTCGCTGTTTAGTGGGACCATTTGGTTTGTTGTTGTTGCCGTTGAAGATTTTAGTGGTGCTGTGAGAAGACTGTGAACGCATGATGGATGAAGGGAAATCCCTGCAATTCTTTTTGCCAGACGCGGGGGACTTGTGTCTTTTATTCTTATTCTTGATCTTGGGAGTTTTAGATCCACAAGAACAAGAGGAATTATTAGAGACGGTGATAATGGAACTAGAAGCACCTGGACTGAATGGATTATTGTGTTTATTATGACTTGACGACTGAGTTATAGGAGGAGTTGGAATAGGTGTTCTGAAATTGAAGTAATTATAACACCGAGAAGAAGGTTTTGTCACCACAGGGGCGGTGGAAGAGAAAAAAACGTTATCGTTTGACGGGGTAGAGGGGGATGGGAAGTGGTTTAGAGGGGTCGGGGGATCGCTGTTGGGGGCGAGAGGGAGGCATTCTTCGCTGGTGCTGCCTTCGCTGCCGTCGCTGCTGCGATCGTCTGTTTGCGCAGACAATAGCGAAAACAATTCAACTTCTTGACAACAATGAGCGAAAACAATTCAACTTCTTGACAACGAAAAACAAATTCGACAACAAACAAATCAAGAACAAATGAAAATCATGTCCACTTCACCAACAGACAACAGCAAAAAACACGACCGACCGGTTTAAACAGAAGCAAGGGAACAGACAACAGACGCAAGACAAACATATTAGCGTGTTATCAAAACATGAAATGAACTTGCATTAGAATTCGCAACACGTTTGTTATCGTGTTGATGAAGAGAATAATTCGATCACATTACCGTGAACATGCAAAAGGACAAAATAAAAAGCAAATCAAAGAAAGAACGAAAATAAATCATGAATGCATAACAAAAATCAAAATGCTTCAGCGATCACGGATAAAATAAATTTGGAGTATAGCCAGATGATGATGATGCGAGTGCGCGAAATAATTCAAGGATTTAGCAGGCAAAGTGAAAAAAATTAAATTTTTATTTTAAATCATGATGAGCAGACTTATTAGCTTTCATGCCACTCAGAGAAAAATGAATGGGTCACGTTGTACAAATCGTGACTCGCTTTCCTGCCCAAAAGCAGGAGCAGAGAGCGGCCGTAGCACTGATACGCCCTAATGCCGGGCTAATCTGAGTCAGGTTGACCCATACCATGTACAAAAGTACATTGTATGGGTCAAAAGTACATTGGACAAGCCGATCTCATTCATTTCTTTCATTGATGGATGATATGGCAAATTGTGTTGAGAATAAAATGGGTTTAAATTGTAATAAGCATTAAGTGAGTAAATTTTGATAATATAAATTCAATAGTTATGTTACTTTAAAAGATTTTCAGACCTCCAGTAAAATTCATCAAAATATTTGTGTAATATTCACTAACTCTCTCCAGGATAAAAAAGGAAAAACGTTAATTTGAAGATAAAAAATCGCGCAAAAAAGGATAATTAACAGTTTAAGTTTTAAAGTGCATACAGACAACATCAAAGCAGAAATCATAATTGACATTTAATAAATAGTCCTTTAATTTAAAGGAAGATGCACAGAAATGAACATTTCATTTCGATAATTCTACAGGCAGAGAATCCCGCGAAATGCAGTATAAACAAACAGCGAAATATACTGAAACATTTAAAATTGAATAAATTTTATTAGTGTTCCAACGCATCAAAATTATAATAATCCGTCTAATAGTACTTAGAACAATTGAATAAATATATAACTAGTATCAAAGCGGCCATAAGAACAAACCTTTAGTCAGGAATTTAGTGATGAAAAAATCCTTTTAGAAAAACTACATTTAAGATCTTTAACTAATAATTTAGAATGGACATAGACGTTTTTGTTATAAAGCATTGATGTTTAATTACCCAATACAAAACAATTAAATCAATAATAAACAACAACCAATTAGCAAACCCAATAGAACAAAATTTATATTGATTGATAATTGATAATCATTGATAAATTCCAATCGTGAAGTGATCGGAATTATTGAAGGAGAGTAGATAAGTTTTGCATTAAAATCATAGCCATTTAACTTGCGGTGGTAGACAAAGGGCAGAAAAAATTAAGGATAAATATAGAGATATAAATTCAAGAGAGATTCATTTGAACATTGACAAGCACAACACTCATGCCAGCCATTCGCAGATGCAACAACTTCGCATAGATTTTCGCCTTTATTCATAGTCTGCGCGTATACATCAACTGTCGTGAATACTATTCGAACCAACCTATATACCCGTTAACTAGAGGAACCGTCTAGTTACCCAAGTAACTACAGTTACCGTCAGGAGACAAATGGTTAATTGACGTACGGTAGTAACTAGCCATGTAGTGACCAACTAGCCATGAAGTGTAGTCTCGACACTTACACTTTGAAATTATTATTCAGTAATAATTTAATATTCAGGATCTATTAGCACATGATTCAGACTGGAATGTTAGTCAGACATTGTCGGGAGCCTTGAAAATAATCTGATATGGACCAGGTTCATTCCAGCAGTGAGAATCAATATTATTTGAATGGCCTCTAAGTTATTATTTCAAGTAGCGTTATTAGAAAGAATACAGATTATCAATTGTCTTCAATAAGCTGCTTTATGGAAAAAAGTTCCCTACATATTTTTCTTTTAAATTTACCGTAGATTGGAAGTTTTTCAGCAAACGTCCTTTCCTTTATTAAATTACGATAAAAAAATATAACTCGGTACTCACTGCAGTGAGTGACAGAGAGCGCATTTTCTCGTCGACGAAAACTTGAGATCACGGACAGACGGACAGACGGACGAACAGACGGACGAACAGACGGACGAACAGACGGACGAACGGACATGGCGAGCACAATAGTACATTTTTTCCCATAAATGAAAAAATGCGCTAAAAAGCTTATGAAAAGATAACCAGCATTGCATAAATTATAAGTAGATTTCTCAGCAGGCACATGCTAGCCTATTCATTTTATTCACATATATATTCACGAAATAAGCAAAATCAATCAATTCACTGGCGAGATACACATATGAATGAAGAAATGAATGTAGACAATAAGCCATTCACGTTGAATTTGCCAGTTGTACTTGTAGCAGGCACTTGAAAATAGAACGCACTCACCTTTTTCCCCGAATTTTCATTCATGTTTATTAGGCATGTTAAATATCTCGAGCAGTGGCCCTCTTATGCAGCCACAATTTGCATACGGGATTTATTGCCATAACTAAACGAAAAATTGTACTCAAGTTTTGACAATACAATACTTATTAAAGTTACAAATAAAATTTAATATTTGAATAAGATTACCAACACCACAGGTTGGTAAATCATCGCTGGAGTGTACACAATCATCGCTAGAACAACGAAGACGTCGCTTTGATTGTTATGATGATAAGAAGATGGTTATCACAGTTACCTGCCTGGTCTTTGTTAACTGCAGTGAGTATCGATAAAAAGTGAGCCTAACTAATTCCAATTAATACTGCCAGTAATGGTTCAAGTTATGAAGGTAATGGTTCAAGTTACGATTGCGATGGTGCAAGTTATGAAGATAATGGTGTCAGCAATGGCGCTGTACAGATACCAGAAATGTTTCAAATGATGGAGTTAATGGTGAGGCAGAGGCACCAGACCTGGGCTGGGAGGCGCGTATGTCTTGAGGCGGGCGAGGGATGAGGCGTCGCTGAGGCTGGCAGGGTTCACCAGATTACAGCACACGTTGGGCGCTGACGACGACCTGACAACCACAAGAAGACGATCAGAAACGTACGATCAGAACTGGCCAAACAGAAACGGACGAACAGAACTGAAGAATCAGAAACTGACGACAGAACTGAAGAATCAGAAACGGACGATTAAAGATGGCCAATTAAAAACGGAAAATCAGAAACAGCCAATCAGAAACGGTGAATTGCGAACGGCCAAACAGGAACGTTCAATCAGAATTGGCATGACTTATTGTTAGAGCGCGGTTGGCCGAAAACTGATCATGAAAGTCAACAACATAGCTAGAGTGAATTATCATGTAGAGGATGTCCAAAGACAAAATAAAATACACTAGAATATTTTGTAACTGCATTCAATTCAAAAAGATTAGATACGAATTACATAAAATGTCCACTAATATTGTCGAACTACCGTAGCTTTTGCCATGAAATAAGAAGGCATGCCACTCAAAATTTGAATAGGTACATAGGTATATATAATATTAATATATACATGAATAATATAAATACCGTTCTATAACATGGATACCTGCCATAATATAAATACCTGTCCATAATATCAATACCTGTCTATAATATAAATACCTGTCTATAATATAAATACCTGTCTATAATATAAATACCTGTCTATAATACCTGTCCATAATATTAATACGTCTATAATTATGGTATATTATTATAAATAATACGTAATATACGAATAAATAATATAAATATTATTATAAATAATACGTAATACACGAATAAATAATATAAATATTATTATAAATAATACGTAATACACGAATAAATACTATAAATATTATTATAAATAATATACCTGTCTCGGGGAGCCAGAGGCGCCGGAGCAGACCGAGCTCCCCCATGTATGTTAGTAGATTGTGATGCCTCCATGTGATGGTTGTGGTGATGCTGGTGGTGATGTTGTTGGTGGTGGTGGTGACGAGAGGACCCGGTCGTGGGGTGAAGGTTATACGTGCCAGCCAAACCATCAAGGTAATAGTAACCCGAAGACGTTGAGTAACTCGTACATGTATTGAGAATACCAGCAGGGTTGTTGCTTTGCTGGGCCAGTAAACTGCAGGCAAATTGAAACCATTAGAATATTATCATAAGTTTATATATATAGTATTATTTATAGTAATAAAACTAAACCATAACCAAAATATAGTTTTAAAAAATATAGTGTTATTAGTGGCCAGAGGATGGATATTGACCAAAATTGTCAAGTGAAATGTGAATGAAAGATAATAAGAATTAACAATCCATTAAGTTTATACAGGTTGTATAACGTCAGACGACAACACATAACCATCATTGACGAGGATCAGCTGATGCGAAATATTGAGGTGTGAGTACTTGCAATAATTCAAATGTTCATAATTGCTGGAAATCGTCTGACGTTAATGAAGAGGAATGATGTTTGCATTCCATAAACTGCATTACTCCGAAATTTGATGATCAGTTTATTATACCAGTGATCAGGCTATTACCATTTTGGACCCCAGTGCAGATTTGACAATAGGTATATCAACTTACCGCTGGTAGATATTATTGGTCATATGATGGTCTTGTTGACATACAGAGTAGATGTATCAACTTACTGCTGGTAGATATTATTGGTCATACGATGGTCTTGTTGACATACAGAGTAGATGTATCAACTTACTGCTGGTAGATATTATTGGTCATACGATGGTCTTGACATAAAGATGGCACGTGGAAGGAGCAGCGCTGGTGGAAGCGGTAGCCGCAGGTTCGACACACAAAGCCGTGGAATAGCAACTTGCGACAACTGTCACAGAATGCCAGCGAGAAGAAAGTTCTCCGGATCTGAGACAAAATAATTCAACAACATTATTTACTGAAAAATTTAATGATACAATTTAAAATGTTTGGAAACAAGGCTGACAGTAAAGAATTTCATGATCTAGATTAAATTTTAGGTAAATACACCTACCAGCAATTTAAAATTTAAAAATAGAAAATATATACTGCTCAAAACACTCACGTTGATGATTTACTAAGATATATATTGATTTTTTAATTAAAATAAATTATTCATTCAAATGTCTATCATTAGTTATAATAAGTAACTTGAGAACTTATTGCTTAGAGCTTGCAACAAAGTTACGAGTACAGTATTGAGTTATTATTATGTTATCATTGAGCTACTGACGAAGTTGTGTGAGATTGATGTGGTGACGGGGAACTTCTCCTTGAGCTCGACGATGATCTCATCGCCCTCAACGAGAGCGATGTCCTGGTCCCATGACAGCAGCGCCTGCAGCAACAAGTGGTGACATTAGACACAAATAGGTCCTGCTGCTGCCTGCTTCTTAGTGCTGCTTGGTTCTTACAGCTGCCTGGCTTTTACAGCTGTCTGGTTCTTACAGCAGCCCAGTTTTTACAACTGCCTGGTTATTACAGCTGCCTGGTCTTGTCTTACTATCAGGTTCCTACTGCTGCCTGGTTATCAAGGTGCCTGGTTCCCTCTGATGCCTAGTTTGTTTATTCTGACCCTTCTGTTACTTAGTTCATTTTTTATTCTTAAATAGACAAATGGTTTGAAATGTGCAGTGGAATTTTGGAACCACAGCATAATATAATATTTAGTTTAGTGAATAGTACAGTACATAGTATTGCGTATAGTATAGAGATGTGTATACTATAGAGAAGAATGGGTGTTACCTTAGGATGAGCTTTGTAGACAGAGCACAGCTCAGGTGACAGCTTGCGTAGACTTAGTGCTTTAGATAACGCATATCTCAACGTCCGGCCAGGATGAATCTGAGAACAAAAACTAGCTTAGCAGAGAGGCATTGATTGCTTGAGGTTAAATTATCATTGAATGGGTTACATCATACATGACAATAAATACATTATGATGTTTCCATCATGCCAAATAGGAGTTGATAGCATACACCAAAATAACAAGTCAATTGTATTTTACTAGTGATATTCAACAATCAGAATGAATAAATTTTTTGTTAAACTATAGTTGACTATATGAACTAACCAAAAAATTTATTAGTCATCCTTGACTAAAATTTACTCACTAAAAGAAGTATCTATTCGACTTAAGTAATTCAACACAATTGATTGGCACAAAGTTGCTGACCTGCACAATGGTGCGCTGCTGGTTGGGAAGATGCGCCTTGACGACGGCACGACGCGGTGACTGAGGCGTAGACCGCAGGCTGCTGCTGCCGCTGCCGCAGCCCTCGTCTGACGTGTACATCACTGAACACATTCACAGAATTATTAGTAACAAAGATCAATCATACTGGCTCTTACATTATTACAACAGTTACAGCATTATATAAACTCTAACTGCTTACATTGTTATCTAGAAGTTCTCCTGATGAACTGACAACTGTTTTGTCTCTTGGTTCTACCTGTCAACCTCTGATATTATATTTACATGACATAAATATTAGTATGGACAATATCAGTCATTTGGACAAGTCTCACCAGCACCAGTTTGTGAGGGGGTGGGGGTGGTGGGGTCAAGTAGTGCTGCATCATCCCCAGCATGGTAGGAGAGAGGAGGAGGCTTGCCAGTCTGGTATATTTGGCCGCTGTCACCTGGAAGTGAAATCAAATTTTCTGTACAAGCAACTGGAAGAAGTCAGAAGGGACACTTATAGATGCATAAACAAAACAGCCATTAGAAGTTTTTTGGATGTAGTAATATTTTTACACAATTCATGAACAATTGAATCTTAAAATAAGAGCATTTGACTCTTAAAGATGAGCATGTAAATATGTATTATTGAGCATGAGTATTATGCTGCATGTTACCATGCTGTGGAGGGCTGGTGCTGTTCTGAGTGGCATTAGCTACACTGGGGTAGCTGAGCCCCAACTCTGAGGCCTCAGTGTCCCCAAAGTAGCCAGTGCTGACGCTGCTCACAAGGCTCCCTCCACTGCACCCAAAAGTGACATCTTCCTCAGATTGTGCCTCATCTTGTCTACTCAGCACCTCCCCACCAAGGTGTTCTAGAATTTCCTGTTCACGAGCTTCAAATTTGTGGAGCTTGCCCGTAAGTTCTTGGTATTCCTGTTGGGAGAAATATATTTCACTCATTATTACTGCATTTAGAAACATAAAAAAAGAGAATCAACAATTCTACTGTGAAACTTTATATACAAATAAATATAAATGTATATACATATAGTTCTCTAGAAGCCACAGGTTTTATAATTTCATAGGACAGTGTGGATAAATACTTTGTCTTTCATTTTTAAAATTTATAGGTACACATAGTAGTTTGAAATCACTTAATAGTGCTAAAAAACATGACATCACAGAACATTAACATCTTCAAGTGACAAATTTAACCATCCAATGTAACTTCAACTCGAATATTAATAGGCCCCATTTTCCAAAGCTAATTTGTGAACACAGTAGTTCCTATTATTCAAATAATTCAGTCTATTTCATTTGCAAGATAAGAATAACATCTAAGATTCATGACAAGTATCAATTTCATCATAATGTTTTAAAACGTAAAAATAACAAAATTTCTCTGAATTGTAACTGCCTGAAAGCAAGCTACTCACACTGAGGTAAAGAGGTGGTGGATGTTTGATGCCAGCAAATCTTGAATTGATGTCATCTATGTACTTTTTAGTAAATAGGATGATGCTTCTTATGTTCTCCAGCTGGAAAAAAAGTTTGATTGTTAGAAATTAGAACTGATAACAAATTAATTAAGATTTTTCTCTAGGTAACTTTTCAGAATAGTATTAATAAGAAAGTTGAGTTGATGAGTGTAAAACAATTAATTTATTGTTTTATTGTTAGATAAATAGGGATACAAAAATGTCAGCTTACAAGTAAATTAAATATGTATCATTCATGAAAAAATCAAACTTGCCTCTCCCATAAGTGTGTCAGGCTCCATGGTTTTGAAGTCTTCTTCTGGAGTGGTTGGTGGAGAAAGCGGACTGTTCCGCCGATTTCTTTGATCAACCCACGACATTTTCACAACCATAAAGTCAGCTCCGTGATTCAAAATGAATAGTAATTATTATGTTTTTTACAAAACAATACTGATGACTTACATTCTGCTATTTAAGCTTCAAACTGATATTACATTTTAAAGAAACTATCAATCCTTTCTGAGAATTGCAAAGAGGTTAATGTTTTCTGTTAATAATTAATAATAACAGAAAACTAGTGTAAGACAAACAGCTTGTTTTCTAGAAATATATATAACATAACCTTCAGAGATGCAACAAAGAAGAAATCATGATACATACCAATGCAAAATTTTATCATAGGTAAAAGATTAATGCATTTAAATGAATGGATTATTGAGTTTTGTAAACAAAATCATAATTTGAGCAGCCATATTTGAATAAGTTGTTCATTTGGGAGCATGATGAGAGCTGCTTGAGTTTTATTAATTGTTTAAATTAAACTTTACTCTGCTCAAAAATAAGAGAACAATCTAAATTTTTTTCATGCATATAGAGCTATTTATTTCCAATTTGTGGGCACTAACAGAAAATATGTAATCTTTGTACTAAGTTGGCAACACATTATAGCTATGAAATGAATATTTTCAGAAGATTTTACTGACAAATTTCTCATTAAATACCTTTTTACATGTACCCATTTTTGGCAAGAAACCTCAAAGATTTAGGTAGTTCCAGCAATAAATCCTCAATAATACTGGAAACATTACAACCAATCATGAATATTGGGTAAATGTTTCCAAAAATTGGGGAAAAACAATTGTTTTACGAGTACTTTTTGAAAACCCCATGTAAAAATAGGCCCCTTTTCTTATTTGTCACTGAAAATATATAGGAAAAAGCCAAACAAATAGGCAATATTGATCAGAATCACTGGCACGTTTTCTCCAAATTCACAGATGGCTTCTACCCACTTTTCCAGTTAGGCATTATAGGCCTAAAATGAAGATCTTGGTAACACAAAATTTTGCAACATTCTGCTTATTGACCAATGAATGACACATAAAAAGCAATGCATGTGCGAAATTTCATTCATTGTAATTGTCCTTGACTTATTTCTCCTGAAATTCAAGAAAAATGCCTATTTTCACCTATGCTTGTCAAAAATAAACCTTGAATTGTTGGTTTTTATGACATTTGTCACAGGTCAGATTAACTGAAAAAAATTTTCTGTCATATATTCTTCCTAAAATCTTGTGTGTGGAAAATATTGCAGAGATCAATGACATTATTCTTCAATGAATGCAGCAAGTCTCCCAGCTGTTTCCTCATCAGCCTCCTCATCACACCAGCAAATGGGATGTTGCAACTCACTTATGCCTGCTCATTGTTACCTTCTAATATCTTGCTATATTATTATGGCTCCCTTTTCTGTATATTCCTCTATTGTCTGTAACTGCATATAATTCCAGAATTTGTGATACCAAGTTTATGTTTTTGAGTGAAGATTTAAGTTATTGTAACACTGCATTAAGACATTGTTGGCTGTCATTTATATGAATACTTGCTCATAGGCTGTTATATCATAGTTCATTCCTATTTTTAAGATGATTTCATATAGGGGCAATAAGTCTTAATGGGAATGATTTATTACATAAACTAGTTATTCTGATTTTATATTTTTAGCACCATTAGCCTCACTTTTATGCCTGTGTCTTATTTGTATGGCAATGTATGCCATATAGCAACATAGCAAAAATGCCAGCCTGCTATCTTTACCTCAGGTATAAGTTTTGCAGACCACTTTGTTATCCACCTAGCACCTCATCTACATGGCCAACTTTAATTTCATTTAGTCTCTTTTGATTTGAAACATATTTGGTCATTTTATAATATTGTCCTACAAATGTAATCTCTAATCTCACAATTCTAGATATCACAATAGTATTTTATGCCTAACTGCAGCCATTTCCGTTATAATCATAATCAAAGTCCAGCCTAGCGTTGGCAAATGCAAGCATAAGTAAGGAAACAAATACTAAGTATATCTGGCCTAACTCTCCCTGAAGCTAAAATTGTTAAATGTAGGTAGTTATCATCAAAATTGGGTCTCTCCTTCTTGCCTGCCTAAACCACTTAGTGTTAAAGCTACAGCAATGAGACATACACCATTCGATTCGTAAGGAAATTACCTAAAAATTTGATGATCATTTTTTTGAATTTCTGTCTGGTTCATTTTTTATATGGGGGAGTAGGGGGGGGAGGGGGGAAAAATGAGAAAAATGGGATGAAATGTGCATAAAAAAAAAAACAAAGGGGAAAATGAGAAAAGTGATCATCAAATTTTTAGGTATGGTCCTTATGAACCGAATGATACGTGTCTTGATGTTGTAGGATGATATTTGTAGGAGGAGATAGATTTTCTAAAGTAACCCTTTTTAGCCGTTTTCTATGAATTTCATGTTTTCTATCAATTTTTTTGAAAAAATTCATACCAGCAAAATGTTCTTATTTTTACATTTTACTTAGGTACGTGAAGCTTCATGATGATCAGATAACTGTAAAAGTTTTTCTGGAGGGTAGCCGGACCCCTTAAATTGTGTAAGTAACTAATGAAATACTGTGCCATTGATTATGCCAACATAAACCATTCCTGTCATGCTAGCTGTAATCATGTGTCATCAAGTAGTTAATTAACAATGCTCAGCTACAAGGCTATTAATTAATCCTAACCAATGGGAGTCCAGTCCCTGCCAAGTGTAAGTTTTGTATACGTCTTTCTTGACCTATTAACTAAATTTAGATCTTGTTTCCAGTTTACATCACCATTTACCCAGGGCGCAGAGATTGCAAGCAGTGTCGCCAAGATATGGATTTTTAACCCAAAGCGTTGCCAGCCATTTTCACAAAGCTTTGGCTGGTAATTTTTAATAAGAAAGTGCTGCAAGCAACTTTGATAGCATATCCCTTACTCTCCACATACCACAACACTTACACTTATCGCAACTGATTTCAGGACAAGCTTCACTGCATCCTGATCCATCTAACGTACTGGAAACCTTACTGTGTGCGCTTGCGGTCTTTCAGATTTGCAGTAATAGCAATAATTTCAAATTCATTTCTAAAATGCAATAATTTCAATCCAAATGTGTTGGCAAGATCTTCTGAAGGTGTAAATGTTGCTGCTGATGCATCACCAAAGATCATTCGAAACTCATCCACTTTCTACACCCTGGCCAGTGGCCACTCACCAAGTCACCAACAACAGCAAGTAAAACCTACCATAGCCAAGTCATTTTTTCTTGCCCAACAAACCACATCCATCATCTATGTCAGTTTTAACTTGTAAACTCTGGAAATTTCTGTCCAATATTCCATATTAGTGATACTAGGGTAAACGCAGTATATTCCGACATCGTGGGTAATTCCGACACCTCTCTAGTTTTTCCTCTATATTAAGCTTTGTTTTAGTTCCATGCGTTCGTTGATGGTTGATATAGTGACGTCATACATTTGCGCATCAAACTACTACTGCCAAAACACTAGGTCTGGGCAATCTAGCTGGAAAATGTACAGATCCAAAGAGAGACGGTGCATTCCTCCCAATGAGATCATCAAAAAATGTGTCAAAGTTGACAGTTGACCTTGCTCTACCAAATAGTGATAAACTGTTTGTGTAGAAAGAATATTATTGTTTGAGACTTTTAAATACATCTGTGAATATATTAGGAATCCTTTAAGTATACTTGTATTTGCTGATTTCAAGTGGTAAATAAATTAATAGATGATTAAGTTGAGAAACCCATTTAGACACATAAAAACTAATTCCGACACAACTTGAATTGGACACACACAGCTCGTTCCAAGCTGTGTGCAAAAATTAAAATTTTCTTAATTAAAAGCTTAATAACTGTTAATTAAAAGCCTAATTAAGTAGTGCTCAATATTCAATAGTGTTCTAATTCAAAGCCGTGTTGTATTCCAATACAGCTCACACAGCACACAGCAATCGGAATTCAAACACGTGGATGTCGGAATTACACGTTAGTACAATTTGAAGCGCGGTCGGAATACATCTTACCAAGTGCCGAATATAGTCACTCACAGTGTTGGAATATACTACAGCAATCCCTTGATTAACGCGGTTAATAAATCCCCGTGTTTTACCCTGTTAAGCAAAACCGCGCTAATCAAACTTAAGAATATATGGGAATAATTATAATGAATCCTCAAAAATAGCAAAGTTACATGATAATTTTTTTTCCAATAAAATTCATCATATTTTTTTCTAAATAATAGGGGAAATAAATAAAAGAAATGCTAATGAATTAACATTTATTTTTTACTGAAAAACGAATCCAATTTCAATTGCACAGTACGACGTGGAAGCAATTTTGCCTTTCTCTTGATACTCGGATGATTTTTTTCAAAATTGTGCGTATTGTTGACTCGGGAAACCCTAGGTCTTCACTGATCTTCATTTTCGTTTCACCATTATCAAAACGCTTAATTATTTCAAGCTTAGTCTCCAAAGTGATATTTTTACGTTTAAGCATTCCCTTTTTGTCCATAATTATGACGGTAATTTATCAAGGAAAATTATGTAGTTTGATAAAAGTGAGCAGTAGATATGGCAGCGATCTTGACCAGTTGAAGGCTAACGAGTAACTAGAGCACCGGCATGGCGCACTTACCGGCGAACGTTGCCGAACTCGACCATTCGAGTTATGAACGAGACAAGGCGCGGTTAAACCGACTCTGTAGTCAGCACGAGTGCCTACGGAACGGGACCTTATTTAAAGAATTATTGGCTGAAATTCATAAAGTAACATTTGGCGAATTTTTCCAAAAGTCGTAACAAAAGTAACAACATAAGATCTAATAAGCAAAAAGTAACACTTTTGTTACGAACATAACACCTCTGGCTAGAGGCGGGAAAATGATGCGTTATGAAAAAAAAAGTCGCGTTAATCAAAACTGGCACCGCGTAGATTAAGGGTAGGTCACAAATTTTTCTTCCGCGTTAATCAAAACCACGGTATTCAAAACCGTGCTAATCAAAAAGTAACACTTCTGTTACGAACGTAACACCTCTGGCTAGAGGCGGGAAAATGATGTGTTGTGAAAAAAAAGTCGCGTTAATCAAAACTGGCACCACGTAGATTAAGGGTAGGTCACAAATTTTTCTTCCGCGTT